TCTGTTAAGGTTGTTCAGTTGAACTGTGTGACCCCAAATAAATTGAGTTCATTGGTCAGCAAAACAGACAGGAGTCTCCTTTTTTACCTGCATACTTTAATTATTAGTGAGGTAGCTAATACCACTCATCACAGATGCCTGAAATCTCCAGAATATTGCATGTTTCTGTGTAAGGGGGCGTGGGGGTTCTCCACATTACATTCGTCAATCTGATATTCAGTTGGGAATCTCTTTGGCTGAATTTAATTCACAAAATAATCCTGAGATTGAACTGTGGAGACAGGGAAAGGAGTCTGTTTCCCTTTTTGCCTGTAGTGAACAGAATTGACATTGATTTTGGTGATGGGTTCTGCTTGTGAAGGATGCAGGACAATGCATGCTGATTTGAGACATCTCGTCTTAGAACTCTTTTCCTTTCTATTTACACCAGGTAGCGATAGCTGAAGATGACTACTTTTGGGAGACTACATACTGTGTCTTAAGTTTTGGCAGGGGGTTGGCTATAGAAAGATGCCATGCAGAATGTGATTGATTTATTTATTTATTTTTTTGGTAGTATCCTTAAACCAGAGCTGCTGTTCCATCAGCAGGATGAGTCTAGACCACAAGACAAATCTCACTGCCCTTTTGTTCATCTCACTAGTTCTAGAACCACATCTTCCTCCTCTAGATCAGCTTTGGATGATCTCACTTTCAAAGATACCTCATAATCATTTGCATTGATACAGTCTTGAGCAATGCTGTTGATATACACTGTTAAGTTGTGGTTGCATGTTGTTCTTGCTCTGTCCACCCTGTTGTAATTTGCTGCCTGAAAAACACTGCAGAGAAATGCATGAACTATATCATTAATTTCTTCAGCTCATCTGAGAGAAGTTTACATTTTTTTCCTTCCCATTAGACAATGGGAAAGAGTGAAATTATACCATTTTTGTCATAGAAGACCAAAAGGAACCATTAGAGCATCTATTCTGAGTTGTATAACACTGACCATCCTGCTACCTGTATTAAGCCTTATAACTAGTTGACTAAAGTACACCTACTAGAAAGGCATCCAGTCTTGATTTGAAGACTTCAAAAAGATGGCGAATTCACTGCTTCTCTTAGAGCAGTTTATTCTAGTAGTTAATTGTCCTCTGTTAAAAACATACAAATTCGAGTTAGAAATCAGGTGCAAATATGTAAATTCCATTGGGTTTTGTTAATCCTTTCTCTTGTGGAGGAGAGAGTCTTTTAGTATCTCGTATTTTTCCCATGACAATTATTAGACACTAATTAAATTGCCTTTTGATCATCTTTTTGTGTCTGCTTGTGAGCTCTGCTACAGTCAGAAGCAGCTCATCACAGCCTGTTTGCTGCCCTTATTTTCCAGGATTGGATGTGGACTTGACCGCCTGGAATGGAGTAAGGTTTCAGCGATACTTGGAGAAGTATTCGAGGACACGGACATAAAGATCACAGTTTACACCCTCTGAACAAAGGGGCCTTTATGGGGATGGTTGTCTTATTTCTCCTGTTTTGGGGAGAGGTGATTTGTTAATTGATGGATGAGGAATGGCTGCATATGAGGCACAGCCCAGTCCTCTCTTTCCAGGTATAACTCATTGTTGGGTTCATGTTTTTCAATGGAAGGTAGCTATTCTCTGAAAACAGCTAGTTTGGAATATGGTGTGCAGACTTCCAGTGAAGAAGTAAAGTATTTAATATTAATCTTCAGGGTCATGTATATCCCGCAGGGATTCTCACCTGCGAGTTGCACAGTGAGTCACCTGATGTCACTGTTCCTCTGTTGCCCCATCTGCTAAACACTCTATTGAAAATGGTTATTGTATGTGGCTGTATAAACTCCTTTGGCATTCTTAATATTTTGGGTCTTTGGAACTGAGTTTGTATGTGTTTTACAGAATGGGTGGGTGAAGAATTATGTAGCCCTGTCGTTTTGATTTAAAGTTTTACAGTGTTCATGTCATCAATGAGGCTTGTTTTCCTTTGTCTGTTGAATGATTAAAATTAAAGTATTCTTTCAAACAGAAGTGATGTTTCATGCTTTTCCAGATATATGCCACTTCAGCATCATACTCTTAAGCCTTGCTTTTCTCCTCTTGAAACCAGGGTGTAATCCCTGTGTTGTAAGCCACGCCTGTATTTGCCTTTCTCTTAACTACATTTTAGAGGAAGCCTGAACGTTTAAAGAAAACATAGTTTGTGTGTGGAACAAAGTTATTAGGTAGTACTAGTTGGTACAGTAATCCATGCACCAGTGCCTGGGAAGGAATAGGCAAGTGTTGAATGTAAAGGTGTAGTTGTAGTCTTCTTCATTTGTTTTTCTTACCTAAAGTTTTTATGGAGCTCTAACTGTGGCAGTATGTAAGGATTGATCTGTTTTTACATTTGTTTTTGCTAAGCTGCAGGTGAGCAAATGACTAATGAATAGCATATTTAATCCAGTAGACCACCATAACACAGTAAACTTCGGTTGTAAAATTTTTGTTCCTGCAATAATTTACTCTGCAGCACGTGATTCAAAGTAGTACTTATCCTGAACTTGGAGTCTTTTATACTGAAGTGCTCTGTCATTATCTCAGTACTTCCTAGTTTAATCCACAAGAACTAATACAGGTAGCCTAGTGAGATCAGTAGAAAATGTTTCTGTTCCTTAAATTTAAAGGTCGTGTGTATCTGACCACCTGTTATCTTCTTGTAGAAGGACAGTAGTTATTCAACGAAAGTAGCTAAGTGTACAGATATCTAAAAAAGACTGCTTTGGATCAATGGGCAGTGTTTGGAATACTGAATCAAAGAATGTATAAATAGGCACCAAAATGTGCATAAATAAATGAAATCTGGTACTAAATGTACAGTAAATCCCCAGCAACTATATTCAGCATTTCTGCATAGCCATAACATCTCATAGGACAGCATGTAAGACTATGCTAATCTTATACACTATTAGCACCTTCTGAGTCAGTTGTTCCTTGTGATATTGTGTGGTACAGCTTGTGTCAAACACCACAAAGCCCATAACAGTAGGTTAGAAACAAATGTTACGGATTCAAGGAGCAAACTTTATCAAATTCAATTTTTTTGGCTGCGCGGTCTCATCATGGGCTTTCTGTCCATTCTCCATATTTGTTACACCCCTGCATTTTTCTCTCTACTTCTTCACCCACGTAGACTCTGAACTGGTTAGGACAGGAAGATTCTTATGTACTATTATGTCCCACTCTGAAATGTGGAATGGTTGCATGAGTAGGATGTCAGGCTATAATCTCACCTGTTAGATTTAATTTAGTCTGTGTGGGAAGAGGAGAAATGACCGATACTGTGAAGTGCAGTTGTGGCTACTCATGTATTAAACTTTTTGCCCCTTCCCAGTTTTGTAGCATGAATATGTTGGCAGCCAAAGGGAGAAGATACCTGATGTTTTCAACATGCTTACACTACTTGGAGAGTCCATCATATTGCCTGTGCCAGACTAGACCAGTTAGCTGCCAAGTTGGGCCATGCTTTTAGTTGTATACAAAGGAAAAGAATGAATAATGCTTTGCTTTCTTTTAATTGCATTGCTGGTTTTCTCTTTTTAAAAAAAATCACTATTTATAAAATGTACACTTGCCAAATATGCTTATCTAATTTGCAGCCCTGCTCTTATCTAAATATTCTTTTACGCTAAAGCTCTTCTATCATCTGGGGTCTGCACTGTGTTTTACAAATTCCATTGAAGTCCATTTCATTTCTGTCTCTAACCATGGCACATTTGTCTCTCTTTCCTGTTAACAGAAACAATGCAGGATTACATTCTAAAAAACCCCAAACACCAAAAAATGCTGCATGATAAATATATATTTTAGTCCATCAGGGCCATGGCTGCTAGAGGTTTATGTTGCATCCTGCTAGATGGGAAAGCTGAAGGAGTGTCCCAGATGTCCAAGTCTGTCATGCTTATTTCTTCATTGGGTAACAGATCTCTTACAAACTGGCCCTGGGGGAGAGAGAGAGACAGAGATGTTACCAGCTTCAAATGCTTTATTGATTAAAGAGACTGTCTCATACAAAACAAAGTATTGAGAAGGGATGAAATGCTGTACCAGTTCTGTTTAGGCCACAGAACTATTACAGTCACCTGTTATCCCTTCAGTTCTCTTTATCTGTCATGCAAAATTGCTCATTCAGGGAACAATGGAATGTTCTTTTTATGTCTAATGACTTTTCTCTTTGTTTCTCTGTGAAGAGTTGAGTGTATTCCTACAAGTATTTTTGAAGGCCTGGGTCTTGTCCTCAGAACTTGCCTGGCCCTGCTGTACAGGAGAGTGGAAGAGGGCAGGGTACTGCTGGGGAGATCATCCTGATGCTTAGTGCTGGCATCCCTAGCTGGGCACAGAGGGAAGCGACAGCACCTTGAAAAGCTTTCTGTTTGTCCCTTAAAAACCCAGAGGCAACGAAAAGGTAGATGAGCAAATGGAAACCCTTACTCACATGAGTCTCAGTGCAGAACCTCAGCCAACTTCTCCTCATAATACAAGAAGTTCTCTTGAATGTCTTCCCAGGGCACGAAGTCCTTTGATTCTCCTTCCTCCTGCTCCACAAAGTTCTGCCAAACATATTCAAAGTCTTGAGGCTTCATAATCCTCAGCTTGCAGCCAGCTGCCTTCATTTTCTTCAGGACAGCCTGCATCTCGGGCTCCTCCCACATGAAAAGACGGCTCACCAGGATGGTGAGGTGCAGGTTCTTGTTCTTCTTCAGAATCTCAGCTATTCGTTCTGCACAGGGCACACAGGGGCTGGAGGAGACGTACCAGGTGACATTGTAGCGCAGGCTGGATTCACACTCAGGCAAGATGGTATTAAAGAAAGCATCTTCGGCATGGGCTGCTGCATGCTCATCCTCCAGGTAACCCCGAATGGTCCCTGACTCTTTGCCTTGGGTTTCTACAATATAACATAAGAAGGTCTTGTTCCTGCCTGAGCTATATTCCACATTCTTGAACTGGAATTTGAAAAAGAAGGCAGGGAGGCGTTCCCTGCAGAAAAAGAAGAGAGCAAGAGAAACCCCTTAGTATTTTTAACAGATCCTGTAATCCTTGTCTCAACCTGTATTCCAACGTGACCTTGGGCAAGTCGCTTAATCTAGCATTTGCCTTGGCTCTTCATTGTTAAGACTAGCATAACAATTGCAACTCAGTGAGGATAAGGCTACATGAATATTGGGAGGTCCTGTATACTCTCTTGATTAGTTTGGTTGATTTATTTTTGATGCATCTATCCTAGGAACCCATAATATCTACTGTGAACATATCAGATACAGCTATAAGAGACTCACTCCTTCCATGCATCACGTAGACACACATTTGAGCGTGTCTGCTGCTCTGTGTTGCATAAGCAAGAGAAATGGCTTTCCTTGACTCAAGTTTGTTAGTGCACCTCAAGTCAGGGCTGTATCCCTTGCATTTTAGTCCTAAACCATCACATGGCTCTGCCAGTGCACTATAATCTCCATCTGCAGCATCCTTACCATTATGATTTAAGATTCTGTTCTGTCAGGTGCTCCTCTCCCATCCTTCCCTTCTGCCACAGTTCTAGTCCTGAGCCTTGAGCACATGGCTCTCCTAGATCTGGCCCTCTGACATCAACTGTGCTGAGTTGTGCTCCATTTTGGTTTAATATGGATATGTGAGTCCAAAGAGAGACCTAATATAAGTGCTTCTACTAAAGTCACACACCTGTTTCTGCTCATGCTAGGGATTAATTTGGTCACTCATGATAACCAGCAACTTTCCATTACCATTCTAGGTTTCCAAATTAATTTAATCAGTGTGAATTAATATCTCTGTAATGCTGTTGCTTCTGGTCATTTTCCAATTCAAGTCAGAACAGGGTGTTCTCTGGAATTATTTAGGGAAGGTATAATCCATTCCTTAAGTGTTGAGTCGCCAGAGCCTAGGACCTTTATTTACTAACACAATTGGTGTGCAGAGGAAATTTGATACGCCCTTTCATGGCACCTGCTTGCTTGTGTGACCTTTCCTCAGTTCTACCTGGTGATCCTGCTTAACATTTTATCTGCAGTCATTGCATTTTGTCACAATAAAAATCCACCTTAGTAGACATTGCACATAGGGGGCTCCCACAGTGTCTCATGATGAAATCTCTTGGCAAATGTTGTTGACAAAATGTTATGTGACTGGGTGCGTGCCCACCAGGCGGTGTGAATAACAATGCTTTAAGTAGCCAAAATCCTGTATTGAGAAATCGAAGATAATTGCACATTACACTTCATTCATTACACAGTTAATCCGCCATCTTATTCTTTGCCCTTTTGAGTCTTGGAAGGACCTGTAACCTTAATATTCCTAGTAAGGAAATAATTAATCTTGTAAAACAGTGAGTAAAATATCACTTCCATCCCTGGATCACCTAGCTGCCGAGCAAAGTCTGTTATTTCTGGCTTCTCTGGGGGGCACACTGAGAAAAGGTCAGGAAAGATTCTTAGAGACTTGACCACCTTAGATGAGATAGAAACACTGGTTTATGGAGTGTTTTGTTTTCTTCCTCAATGGGAAAGATGCAATACCTCATGTATAAAGAGGTTCTGGAGAGGGTGGAGGTGGTTGGTGCAGAAACATGGAGAGTCTACTAAAAAATACGATGAATATGTAACTGTTGGAACAACAAGTGAATGTACCATTCATTCACTTCTGAGGACTTAAGTTTAAACCCTGTTTGAGGTCAGAAATGAAAATGAGTTTGGTGACCTCAAATCTAGCCTCATATAAAGCCACCCTATGCTGTTGGTACAATTCAGCACCATTACTGATGCTACCTTTAAGCAAACAACTTGGAAGAGATCCAGAACTTATCTGGATTGCTGCTCAGAAGGACTGAGGTATGTGCTCTGAGGACTGCGTGCAAAGCCTAGTGACTTGGCATCAGGCTATGACAGAAGTATATGTGGGCCTAGGACTCTATAATGGAGATCAGGACTGAGCTATGTGGTCAGACAGGTGTGTAGTTGTCTACAGTGGCTCTAGCTAATGATGTTACATATGAACAAATAGCGTTTTACGCAGAAAATTATTGAAAAGTGCTGTGCCCCTTCAGATGTTGCAGAACCTTAGAATCTAGTACATTTCTTGTTGCACTCTTGGCACATTATTCTAAAAGTGTAAATGCAATTGTTCACAGTTGTTTAATCTCAGTAAGAGGATCTCCCAGAGTACTTTCCCATTAGTTCTAGCTTTGCTGTATATTAATTCTGTTTGTGTCTTCCAAATGAAGTCAAGACCCTTTAAGGAAGCTGGTGCTACTCTACAGCAGGCTTTGGGTAAAGTGAAAACAGAGGAGACCTCCCACCAAACCTGTGTTACATTGGTTTCTAGGGCCCTGGGCAGTGTTAGAGCCTCGCTGTGCTTGGTGCTGAAAAGCACATGCTATAAAAATGTACATAAAGGTGTGAATAGTCTAACAAGGACAAAGATTTTATAACCTCACTTAAAGCAATTGGGCACCAAAAGCTCTGGTTCAGATTGCCTAACTGTGATGCTCTACAGTCCATGCTTAGACTAGGAGGTTTTTTACAAGTATAGAAGTACCAGTATGCTATACCACCAAAAAATGGATGCAACTACACTGGCAAAACTGCAGTTTATACTGGCATAGAAAGGCCACTTTCCCAGGCAACCAGGCTGTGTCAGCAAACCCACAGTGTTCTTGGTGTCACTGCTCCTTAACCGACTATACATGTAAGTCAGCTTGGGGGATCACAACTCTTTACCATCCCAACTGACATAACTGTCGGCAGAAGTCTATAGTGTAGATCTAACCTTAGCAACAGTCTAAGCTGCACTGTACATCTTGTGATTTAGGTCTTTTTAAATCTGCTCTAAGGCCTGCACAAAGCAGTGATTAAAATGATAACTGAGATAGTTAAAATAATGCCTGTGGGGTTCCTGTACAAATGCCACTTGCTGCCACTAGTGTTAATATATAGGTGAAGCAAAATGGTAGCACAGCCAAAGCCTCTGTATTTTGGCTTAAGAGAAGGAAATAAATCCTACCATTTTGCATGTGCTTTGGCACCATGACAGTTGTAGACTATAAATACAGTATTTGCTGTCACTAAGCATGATGCCAATTACAAGCTGAGAAATATGAGTAGACTCTATCTTGCCTGTTCTTGAAACCTTACCTGCCTGATGCATTTGGATTCAAAAGGCAACTTGAAGGATGATGGAGGCCTGATCCAAAGCTTAGTGAAGTCACTGGAAAGTCTCCCACTAATTTCAGTAGTCTTTGCATCAGACTTTGGTAGTCTCTATCTGTACTCAAGAAAAGAGGGCTGGAGGAACTGAGGGGCTAGCTAAACTAGGGAGAGTTACACGTATATAACATCTGCTGTAGATGTACTGCCCAAAGGCAAGCTGTCTTTTGTCCTGGTCTGCATTATGAGCTTGCTCTTGTGCACATCTATGGAAATTCCCCTAATTTAGAAAACCCAGAATATATCTAGCAAGATTACTTTTCAACATATTTCTCTTCGCAACATTTTGACCTTGCTCCTTGTAGATTAGATGACTTGAAAATACCTCATTAAGGACCAGTCCTGTTTCTTTTCAAGCGAATGGTGAAACTCCCACCATATTCATTAAGGAGCAGGATCAGACTATAATTTAGTATAATGCCTCTCTCCCCTAGATTCAATGAAAGCCCTTTTCTATTTTGTTCCTTGAGTCTAAGAAATTAACGTTTCTTGGAGAACTGCAAACTTCATGGGGACAGAAGTTGCGCCGGTTTAAGTGATCAGAAACTGATTTAAACCTGTAACAGAACAGAAGTACAGTGCATATAAACTGTTTTTTTAAGATAAACCTGGTTGAATGTAGTACCAGACTTAACTGATTTGGGTCAAACCAATTTATGAAACTTCTGTTCCAGGCCCCTTCTTGGTTCAAGTTAAATCACAGTCCCCCAGCAACCCAGCATGGCTTTCTAGCCCTGGGCTCAGCTTGGCTGTCTGCTCCAGCAGAGAAGGGTTGGGGGAGGGAGGCAAGGACTGCCCCCCCGGCCAGGCAAACCCTGGCTGGGGCCTAGGGCCAGGGAGGGGGGTTAAACACCTCTTCCCTGCTCAAATTGATTGCTGGCTGTGACTGGACTACAGATCACAGAGGCACCTGGAAGCAGCCCCTGCCTGTTCCTGGAAGCAGGAAGAGTCCTGTTGCTGTGAATCTGGACTGCCATTCCCAGAGACCTTGGGGGCAGCAGGAAGAAGAAGAGAACACATAGCCCATTCTGGCTACATGCCAGAGAGCCATGCTCTAGCGTCCCCTGGGCTTCTGGCCTGAGCCACTGCAGACGTGGCTGCAATTCCTGAATCAAAAGTAAATGTGTGTCCAGTTGTCTCAGTTTAATCTCTGCAGCTTAGACTGATCTGCAAAGAGTGAATTGCTTCAGCCTTGGGCTTTTTGACTGTCTATACTTAGCCCATGACTTTTGCTCAGAGATCATTTTTGATTCCTTTTGTAATCAAAGAGTTCATCCTAGCTGTGTTCGATCAGCAGAAGCCATCCTCCCCTTTTTTCAGAGACAGGTTTCTAAAGCCACAAGCAATCATTTTAAAATAATGCAACGTTATACACTTGTTTAAAAATGTACCATGTCATAGTCACATGCAAATTAATTTCTCGCTTAAATCTGTTGACTTCAAGAGAGTTACACTATGGGATAATATGACTCTGTTTTAATGAGCTATTTGAATTGTAAGGCCAAAACCCCTTGAAGTCAGACTAAAGAGTCCTATTGATTAATCAGATGTTAAGTCAAGTCCTCCAATGAAAGCCTATATAAAATCTGTGTGTCCTGTCATCTGTGAAACAGACTGAGATTACCTAGTCTCCTAAACAAAATCTGTCTTCATAGCAACAAGGAATATCTAGCATAACACTTTACTTCCAGTAAAGAGGCCTGTAAATGAAGCTAAAGGCACTCTTCAAAGGGCGTAAGCAGCTGGCTGACAGTTTAGAAACCC